ACCTGTGGAAGAAGGGTCTGTAATGAAAAGTACAGGGGTGCTGTTAGGTTATGTAGAGAGAAAGTTAGAAAGGTTAAGGCACAGATGGAACTAAATCTGGCCAATGTCATAAAAGATAAGAAAAGTATTTTTTTCAGATATATTAGCAATAAAAGGAGGGCTGGGAGAACCTCCATCCTCTATTGGATACTAGAGGAAACCTAGTGGCTGAGGTTACTCAAATAGACTTGATTTGGTGAAGTGTGAGGTTGTGTTGATTAACTAATCATTGAAATATATGTGTGTGCATAGTCTGTTTGAAGTGTATTTTAACCAATTTTAATTTTAAAGCAGAAATTGGAGATTTTCATCAGATGGTATGCATTTTTTTTTTTACCAGCTTATCAAGTACACTCTTATGTGCTGATAATAGTCGTTAACCAATATATGCTATATAATTTCACCTAATGTATACACCAAGATTTTCATAAAATGTTGAGAATACAAAATTAATTAGAATAAACAAGTACTTTGGAATCTACATTATGTTTAAATCTGCATAATATTTAACTACCTTTTTTTCTTTTACATTTTGATTTTGGTTTGTGGAAAACTAATTTTCTGTCTTTCCTGGAACTAAGGAGCAAGTGAGCAAGAGGTCTTCTAAGCAAAATTAAAAGTCTTTGTTAAAATTAAGAGGCTTTGTTATGAATGGATAAACATGTGGAAATAATATGAGTTGTGTTATATCACAGAATTGATCACAGCTTCTGAAATACCATGCTGCCTTGTCATTTACAGACTTAGCCACCACGATTCTTCAGAACTGGCTGTTTATTTCATAGTAAATAGGTTCTAAAAATACAAGACGTGTTTGTGTTTTATGTTGATCATGTAATCTAGAGGGTATGGGACAAAATAAAACTCTTAAGCCTTCAGGAAGGGTTTTAAAGAAAATATTACGTAAAAATACCTGTAGGAATTAGGTTTGGACTGAGCTGCTGGAAGCTAGCAAACAAACAAATTAATTTACTTTTAAACAATCAAAGCAATTTGTGTACCTTGCTTCCTGAGGACGTTTTTAAAAATAATTTAGGAATTAATTTGGGATGTTAGAATCCTACCATTCAAAGAAAAGAAAGAAAGTGCCTATTGTATGGCATTTTTATTTTTTACTAATGATTGGAAATCATATTCTTTAATTTATCATTAATGTTGTAATTGACAACATAGTTCTGAAGTATTTTTGAAGCCAGGTTGGAGATAGAATTTGATCTCTTCTCTTCTAGACCTGTGTTGAAAGCAGTATGCCACCTGACTGTACAGGGAACATCTAATAACAAAATTGATGTATAGACTCTTGAAATCATTGCTATACAAGAAATACTCATTCCAAAATCTGATAAAATGCAAAGAGGAAATAGCACTTACTTCTAATGCTTCCTCTGAATAGTTTTTCTTATTATACCTGCTTTTTCGTAGCAGAGCTGAGGAAATCTGGTTTCTTTCAAAGCAGATGGAAACGTCAGAAATAAACCTGTTACTTGACGAGATCTCAGAAATTTACCGTTGGGTATTCGTGTTATACTTATTCCAACAAATTCGCATGGATCATAATTTTCAGGAGAATGTCATTAATAACCTCTTCTCCAAAAATATTGGCACTCTGTGTTTTCAAGGAGACTACAATAAAGAGAACTATCCTGTATGACAGATAAATGATAGATTCTTTTGTTCCCTCCTGCTCTACCTGTCACTTCGACAGACTCATCCAAGTTGGCAAAAAGGGCCTGGTAGTATCAGGTTTGAATGGCTCATCCTGGTGAAACCATCCGTCTCCTCTCTCCAGAATATATTGCTCCATTGATTTTCACATCTGCTTCTGAGAATGTTCAGTATCATAAATACTTTGAAACGAGTGTGTTGAGAAGTTTCCAGAAACAGATTGGTTTTTATCTGGTTCTCCTGGAATGTCTTTGAAACTGGGTCATAAATTCCAGGACAGTCGCTACACAAATACAGTTACTGGCATAAAGTAGCCCTGTTATAAAAATCAAGTGCTATTTCTGTGCTGATGTCTAATTTCAGAGGTAATTATGCCTTTAATTCAGGTTTCTATATTTTTCCTTGTGAACTAAGCAGTAAGAAACTTCCTGTTACAGAAAGAAGGGGAAAAAAGCTTTGTATCCCTGATTAGTGAAGGCAGTATCAGGAGACTTATGCACCTTCTCCACCTTTCTGGAGCTGCGGACACTAGCTGAGTTGGTATCTGCACAGTGCTGTGCTGCTTATCTCAATGGAAGGGCAAATTCTGCTTCAGGGAAGTAATTTCCAGGCTTTCATAGATGCATGTGCTCCAAGAGATCAAACTTCAAGAAACAAACTTCGTGCAGTAACTCAACAAATCCCTTACAGCACATGGAAATTGGCCTTCATTATTTAAGGAGGAGCATCGAAAGAGTTGGCTTAGCTTAATTGAAAAGTGATATGTAGGAAATGTTATTCAATTGCTTAGTCCTCTTTAGATACAGATGGATGATAACCAGGGAACATAGTGACCTGTTTTCTTAATTTGTATTCTCATAAGTCTTTAGTTTCAAGTATATTCCCTCCACTTTTCCTGAGCGAATTAATAAGGGACAGCCTTATAGCCAATCTGTCGATCAGAGGAGTAAATGTTAAATCAGGCCTTCTCCACTACAAAACCTGGAAGATAAAGTATGGAATCAATTAGGTTGGAAAAGACCTTTAAGGTCATCAAGTACAACCATTACCCCAGGACTGCTAAGGCCACCACTAAATCATCACAGAGGGCCTCATCTACATGGGTTTTGAACAACATCGGGGACGATGATTCTACCACTTCCCTGGGCAGCCTGTTCCAATACCTGGTCACCCTATTGGTAAACGAATTTTTCCTAATATCCAGTCTAAAAGCATATGAAACACTGCGTTCACACTGATAAAATAAATGATTTTATGTCTTTGTGCAAATGTTCCTAGGATTATCTGCCTGTTAAAGATATTAGAAATCGCTGTGCAGCAGTGGTTAAATTGAGTTAGCTAAAATAATACTCAGTATAAATTGCATCAATAAAATAAAGCCATAGGCAAGCTTGTTGAAGAAAGTTGGTCACTGTGAGAGCTTTATGAAAATTCATTAGTTCAGTTTCAGTCTGAAAGGGATTATGTGATAGAACATTAATCCAAGGCAATCAGGATGGATGTATTCTCTGACAGCTAGAGCCAAGGTGGTTCCTTCCTGCTTCCTACTTAATCAATGGCAAGAGAAATCAAGAAAGAAAGAATTTCTGGTCGTACAGTATGTCTGACTGCAAGTCATTTTCCTTTTTCATTTGACACCTTTTTATTTTTCCTCCTGAATGCAGCACTTCTGCCACAGACTCATCCATTTTTCTGGCTTGTAGGATATGGCATTAGTGGGTTAGACAGTGAGGAGTAATGGATTTACTGCTAGAAATAGCTGACAATTATGTAGATCTCAAATTTTCTGCGTCGCTTAGGGATATTCAGCAAAAGCATGCATAAATTTTTGGTTTATATGTCTGAAGGGTAAAATGAACTAACTGATTTTCGGTTTTTTAAGTTTCAAATCTTTCATCAGATCCCTCTTTTAAGAAGAATATATAGCGTGAAACACCCTAAGACTGCGGAAGTCACAGAGCTTTCGTCTGAACTTTCCTTTTAATTGCATATTTTTAAAATGAAGGTCTTTTTCAGTTTTTACCGATCTTGACCCTCTGTTACAAAGGGTTTACACTTATTGCCATGTGAATAATTTAGTTTATACTTTAAGTCTCAATGATATTATAAAGCCCTCAAATGAACCTCTGGAAAGGGAATTTGATAAGCAACATAAAACTACCTCTGCTCAGTTACGACAGCAGGATGCAAAAACCTGCTTCAGATTTCCCACAACAGTTTACATAAAGTAGTTCAGTTGGGAAGGTACTGGGGTGTAACATCTGTCAAAAGAAGAGCAGAGCTGTAGGATAGCACTGAAGAAATGGGGAAGCTCAAAACCAGAGTGCTGTTAGAGTCCTCTGTGCATGCCTGCAGAACCAGTGTGTCAGATGTGTTCATCTGACTTCCCTCTGAATCTGCCATCAAAGGATTGTTTTGATTTTTATATTCAGAAGGGTTTATTAAATGTGACTTAAAGCATTTAGTAATGAAATTGTAGAGAATTAATTGTGATACTAAAATTTTATCATTATCTTTTCAAGATAATGAGGAAATTAAGTAAATTAAATTGTGAGGCTAGACCCTGAATCCTGTCAAAAATACTGCTCTCGAAGGAGCAATACAGAGAAGTATATGTTAACTTTGAGTTTTCTCTTCTTTATCAAGACTACAGGTGAGTTTTTTGCTGAGTAGCAATACTGACTACTGCTATCAAGATGATACCAGAATGAAATTCCTCCCAGAGAACTGAGACCCACCTAAGGTCTATCTGGTTTTGATATGGATGGCCTCCGTTGCTATTGCACAGCTACTGAAATTGTGTGGTGTGTGAACCAGTGTTTGACTGTAGCATAGCAGCTTGCAGCATTTTACTTATGGTTGATGTGAGCTGCCTGCGTTTCTGTGTTGATGGTGTAAAATGCCCACAACTGACCAAAAGATCTTACCCCAATAGTAGTCCAGTATAGCCAAATAGCCGTTAGTTCTTTTTACACAGCATGTTTTAGCCTAATACTTTTTTTATTACACTTCTGTGTATTTCTCACAGAGTTTGCTGTGCCATCTCCTTTCTTCTTCTAAGTGGGAAAGTAACGAAGCTGAAACCAGTACATTCATATCAACTCTTGGCTACACGTCAGCAGATTATTATTGTCACTTAGTTAAAAATGTAAGTATTTTGTGCAACTGAGATTTTGTTAATAATAAATCACCAGTTTATAAGCACATACATGGAGCTGTCATTGTGATAAGGAACATGGTCTGAATTTTGTTTATCTTTTCTTACCTCAGTTACTTTTATAGCCTTTTAAGGGAAAAAATGAAGTGGGAGATCTCTGGACAAACAAGAAAAAATTTTTTAGATTGTACTGTAATAGAGATTCATAAAAAAAAAATCCTGTTGCTCTTGTGTTACAAAAAAAAAATTCTGCCCTATCAATGTTTTTCTCTGTGAAGTTTAAATTATATATATTATTTTGTGTATTAGAATGTAACTTTCTGAATTTTTCTTGACTGTATGAACTGCATTTAAAATTGTATATGAGCCCGACATCTTGGGAGCAGTGTTTTTTACATTTAATATATAAAAATAATGGGAATAATATTTCATAATATGTTGACTTAAATTACATAAAGCATATAAAAATTATTAGTAATGCTCTTCTGGTATTTTGCCTTAACTCTTGGGGAAGCAGACCTAAAGTAAATAACTTCAGTTTTCAGATGTGGAAGGTATAAAATGTGTGTTCAGAAAGATTTTGCAGCATAGTTTATTCAGTGATCTGAATTTTGGCATCAATAATAAAAGAAAATTTAAAAAAAAAGCTAAGTGGATAGACCAAATTATTAACCCAGTATGTCAGTCACAGAGAACCAATGGAACTAATGTCTTCTTATTTGCAGTACGTATAATTTATTTTATTTTGTTCTATTAACAGATGGTCTTTTCATTAGTAACAGAACTCAGAGGAAATCAGTTCAATGGACTTAACATTCAGGGGAGGTAGGTGTTATCTGAAAACCATTTTGATATGTTTTCGTTTGGTTCATTGTAGTTCAGTGAGGCCTAGTCTTGCACAACTTAGGCTTTGGTTGGAAAGATTTTGATATATATGTAGATAATTTCAGGTGTGGACAAGCTTGTGTCGTGGTTTAAGCCCAGCCGGCAACTTGGAACCACACAGCCGCTCGCTCACTCCCCCCCTTTTCCTTCCTTCCCCCGCTCCCGGAGGGATGGGGAGGAGAATCGGAGGAATGTAACTCCCACGGGTTGAGATAACAGCTCTCCAGTAACTAAGGTATAATACAAACCACTACTGCTACCAGTAATAATGATAAGAGGAATAACAAGGGAAAAGGACACAACCGCTCACCCCCCGCCGACCGATACCCAGCCCGACCCGAGCAGCGATCTGGGCCTTCCGGGTAACTCCCCCCAGTTTATGTACTGGGCATGACGTGCTGTGGTATGGAATAGCCCTTTGGCCAGTTTGGGTCAGGTGTCCTGCCTCTGCTTCCTCCTGGCTTCCCCTCCTCTCTGGCAAAGCATGAGACTGAGAAAGTCCTTGGTCAGAGTAAACATTACTGAGCAACAACTAAAAACATCGGTGTTATCAGCGTTGTTCTCAGGCTGAAAGTCAAAAACACAGCACTGCACCAGCTACTAAGAAGGAGAAAAAATGACTGCTGTAGCGGAACCCAGGACAGCTTGTTAAGATGTGCTTCACATGAGAGCTTATAGAATGGTCTGAGAGACATAGAATGGTTTGATTTTGAAGGCAGCTTCAAAGATGATCTAGCCTAACCCCCCATCTGCTGCAGGCAGGAACATCTTTCACTAGATCAGGTCGCTCAAAGCCCTGTCCAGCCTGGCCTTGAACACTGCCAGGAATGGTGCATTTACCACTTCTTTGGGCAACCTGTTCCAGTGCCTCACCACCCTCACAATGAAGAACTTCCTTACATCTAACCTGAACTTCCTCTCTTTCAGCCCATTACCCATTGTCCTGTTGCTATAGTCCCTGATGAAGAATCCCTCTCTGGCATCCTTGTAGGCCCCCTTCAGATACTGGAAGGCTGCTATGAGGTCTCCACGCAGCCTTCTCTTCTCCAGGCTGAACAGCCCCAACTTTCTCAGCCTGTCTTCATACAGGAGGTGCTCCAGCCCTCTTACCATCGTCGCGGCCCTCCTCTGGACTTGCTCCAACAGCTCCATGTCCTTTTTATGTTGAGGACACCAGAACTGTACACAATACTCCAAGTGAGGTCTCATGAGAGCAGAGTTAGAGGGGCAGGATCACCTCCTTTGACCTGCTGGTCACACTTCTTTTGATGCAGCCCAGCATACGGTTGGCTTTCTGGGCTTCAAGTGCACGCTGCCAGCTCATGTTCAGTATCTCATTGATCAGCATCCCCAAGTCTTTCTCCTCGGGGTTGCTCTTTAACACCACATAGCCTGTAAAGTTACAGAAACGAGGTGGCTAATTGAAATATCTTCAAAATATCATAAGCTATTATCTTTGCTGTTTTTCTCCCTTCCTTCTTGCACCTAGGTGTTTGTGTAAGGAAGAGTAAATGAGCTCAGTTCGTTTATAGCTGACTTTAGAGACGAAATCATGGACACAGTTAACAAGGAACATCACAAAGTTTTGTTCAATGTTGAAAACAAGCCCACATTTCATAAAGTGGGATGAAACAGACTGAGCTGAAAGCTCATGAGACTGTTGAGAAGAGAAAAATTTGATTTCTACAAGGAGAAAAGGAAAACTTTGAACTTAGGTTCATTTTCGTGCATACGAATTGTGATATGACCGTTGATTTTCAAGTTGCAGAGACAAAGGTAATTTGCAGTTAGAGGTATACATTGTTTCCTTTCTCCATTCAGTGATGCTTACAGCAACAGAGATGACAGTGTCTGTGCAAATGCGTTGCACACAGTGGAATGCGCTGTGCAGTATTCTCCCAGAACATATTTTGAAGATTATGTAGAAGAAGAAGAAACTTGCCTTTGCAGGCTTTTTCTTCTGAGTAAGAGAAGCTGCTTAAGTTTGCTAAACCTGGATAAGGAATTAGAAACAAAATTTTGTAAAGGGGACTGATTTAAAGTCTCAGGTCTGTGAACTTTACACGTATATCCTGGAAAAAATTACCGTACATTAAATACCAGCCTAATAATTACTATTGGTACTGAAACACTTCTCATAGTAAAACTGCATGTCAAAGTATTTTAGTGTAAGAAACCTTAAACACATATTTGGTTAGGTGCTCACTCAGAAATTTGAGTCTTTCAAAATGTGTCGTTTTTATTTCTCTCACTGTGGAAACCACAATGGTACCCCATGTCCACAAATCACAGCACTTCTGCCAGCATATGCCAGTGACCATTAGGCAACATCTATTTGGAAGTAGGTTTAATACATGCAAGGCAATAGAGTTAGCTCTTTTTCACAGCAGCCTGTGGTGTAATTTCTGCCTCAAAACTACATTTAAAAAAATATGCAGTTTCATGTGCTAGAAAATATATATGCTCTGGGAAAGTTGTGATTTTCCTTTTGCAAATGTTACCTCTTGCATTGTGTACTATTTTCCTTTTTATGTTTCAAAGGTTCTATATTTTGTGTATGTTCCAGGTTGCACTGGCTAATCATTTCCAAGCATGTAGTTTTAGTGTGGATGTCAAGTGAGTGGTTTGTATGTGAAGATCCAAGTGTCTTACATTTCTTCAACTGTAGACCTGTAAGACAAAAACTTTTCAGCTGAGCACTTGAAGACAGCAGCAGTCATATTGTTTGGTTCATAGAAGTTGTCTCTGTTGAGAGGATAAAGGTCAAGGAAACAAAAGGAGGCCTTAAAAGCAGCTAGGTGGTCTCTTGTGTCTAGCAAACCAACATGGGAGCTGTGAATCTGTAGCCTTAATTTGTGCTTTGCTGCTCCTGAAAAAGCCAAAGCATTCCCTCCTAGGAAGGGTGTGATTACTCAGTGAACACAACTGGTGCACTTAAGAATTGGGGTGATATCCCTCATCTGGTTTGCCTTGAGCACTGAAATATAAAAAATTTATCTGATTTCTTGAGATTCTTCAGACAATATGCAATGACATGTCAACAGTCATTCGAATAAGTATTTTTTCTGCAATTAAGGTATTCATCTCTTATATTTAACCTTCTGTAAATAATTTAATCTTCTTTTACCTTCTTATTTTAGAAATAGAAGTTTGGCTTCTCTGACATATGAACTGTATTTATTTTTCCCTCAGAGTTTCAGCCAGTCGTGTGAATGCTGTGTCCCTTTTCTGTCTACCTCTTATTACTTTGCCTGATGTAACTCCATTGCTGGAAACTCTCCTTCTTTACCATGGAGGTGCATCAAAAGAAATTCTCAGTTCAGAGTTTCTGGAGGCTGTGAATGAGGCCTTTTTAAAGTAAGTATCATGGTCTGTATGCTTTTTATGCTCTTTTCCTAAACGTTATTGGTTCAGTTAAATGTCTTTTTTCTGTGTTTGTATGCTGGGTGCACTGTACATCTTCTGCATTCTAGTAAAGTATTTCCCTTGCAGTCAAATAGCAGAGCTCAGGTTGTAGGCCAAAGCAGAATTTTATGTTGCTGATGTGAAAATTGTGGAATAACAGCTTTAAATATTGACTGGAACTTTGTCCCACCTTTTCTCTAAAATGCACGTCAAAGTCTTCAATTAATTTTAAGAATTTTGTGAAAGATCTGATTGCTTTTCATAGAAGTGTGATTTACCTTTCACATAAGTCTATCAACATTCCTAACTTGATATTTTGAGACCCACCTTTATTTTTCTGGGCACAAGATACATCATTATGTTTGAGTGCTTTTCTATTTATCTTACTTTTTTTTCCTGTGAAATTTGTTCTCAAGATTTTAAATTCTCCCAGGTTTCAGCAGATTATTTTTAATGAGTCTGAGAGGAGCAATTTGTGAAATATAACTTTGCTTATTTTGCTGCCACTAAACCCACCGTTTTGATAAAACAGTATTGATGAAAACCAGCTGAGTGAAGCTGCATCAGCAGATTGGCTATGCCAGGAAAGGAAAGACAGGGAAAGCACAGCCTACTTCTGGTTGAGAGTTGGTTTATTCAAATTATAGCTGAGGGCTTGTATTATATAGATCTAATTTCTCTTTTAATACTAGAAAAGGTCCTTTGTGAAACACTTCAATTATCCCTTTGTCTCCATTTTAACCAAAGTTTTAATTGCTTTCTCTGTACTCAACGCTGTAATTTCTGAGATGTTCCAATAAAAATTGTTATATTGGTCCAGTGAGGAATCCAGCAAAAAAAAATAAGTAGTGGAAAAGCACAACTGCTAATTTGTACACGTTACTAGAAGTTGAGGAATATACGTGGAAAAGGAATGTGAAAGTCTATGGTGAAATACATGTCCCAAAAAAGAGAGAGCTGTCTTTCACTTGTCCATCTTCTGTGGCTTCAGACTGGGCATGATGCACAAGCAGTAACACAGTTTGGAAAACTTTCAGAGGAAGTTTGCAGGTTCAGCATAGGTGGTTGTCGTGGTTCAAACCCAGCCGGCAACTTGGAACCACGCAGCCGCTCGCTCACTCCCCCCCCTTTCCTTCCTCCCCCCGCTCCCGGAGGGATGGGGAGGAGAATCGAAGGAATGTAACTCCCACGAGTTGAGATAACAGCTCTCCAGTAACTAAGGTATAATACAAACCACTACTGCTACCAGTAATAATGATAAGAGGAATAACAAGGGAAAAGGACACAACCGCTCACCACCCGCCGACCGATACCCAGCCCGACCCGAGCAGCGATCTGGGCCTTCCGGGTAACTCTCCCCAGTTTATATACTGGGCATGACGTGCTGTGGTATGGAATAGCCCTTTGGCCAGTTTGGGTCAGGTGTCCTGCCTCTGCTTCCTCCTGGCTTCCCCTCCTCTCTGGCAAAGCATGAGACTGAGAAAGTCCTTGGTCAGAGTAAACATTACTTAGCAACAACTTAAAAACATCGGTGTTATCAGCGTTGTTCCCAGACTGAAAGTCAAAAACACAGCACTGCACCAGCTACTAAGAAGGAGAAAAAATGACTGCTGTAGCTGAACCCAGGACAGTGGTCTATACAGATGTCAGTAAGCCAATGGGCAGTCCATCATGATGTACTTTTGCCACTTCATGATGAGAGTCTGAATCCTTTAGGTGGTCATAAAATGTTCTTCTGACTGAAATAATTGTCCCTTTCTTTAACTTCAGGGCTACTTGTTTATCACAGTGAGCCAAAATTATTCAGTTCAAATGGCTCTTGACTAAGTGATTCTTTAAGAGCCCTTAACAGAAATGTATGTTTTCCCTGAAAGCAGATAGAGGCTTTGCATGGTATACTCCTGGCCTATCACTGAAGCTTACATGATCTTATCATGAATGTGCTTGAATGTTGTTTTTTTTCATTTCCACTTTAACAACTGAATTCTGTGTTCCTTACCTCTGTCATTGTGTTCTGAACTCTTGTTTTCTTTCTGAACATGGCTGAAGCCTGCTCCAGGAAGTAGGGGTATTAGATACTGGGATTTGCAGTGCTCCACAGAACTGAGCATTGTCCCAGTGGAACCATCTGCAAGGGTAGTCATGGAAGGCTGTGAGGGCTGATACTTAAACGAATGTATGGCAAAATACATACCTTGAAAAATGGATCCCAAAATGGTGTTAAATCTTTCTTATCAGAAGCTTTAGTTTGCGTGTACTCTCCATCCTAATTTTAATTCTTTTCAATTTTAACTTGATTTAAGACCGAGGCACATATTTCTTGTTCTTTATTGGGTTTTGTTTGTTTTTAACATTTTAATTTGCACTTACCATGATAGCTGTAAAAAATATTCCAGGATGTTTTGTGCTGTGATATCTTTTCCTCTTGGGTGGTTACTTTAGTGTATTTTCAATTGTGCTGTTCCAAGCAAATTGCAGTGTTGTCTCAAAATAAACTGTGCCTTTTATTTCCTAGTGATACATCACTGTACTTCAACTGAGCTATACCTGAAGGCTTTAGGTGAAGCGACAACTGCCTTCTTAACCATTTCTCTTTTAAATGGCTCTGGTCACTGTTGGTGGGCTGAAGATTTAGCTGCCTTTACCTCATTTATTTTTCTACTTGCTTCTCTGTGAAGACAGATAATGCTTTGATTTGGACAGCAGTAATGCTATCCAGGGTCTTCCTGCTTATCTGTCAGGTGCTGGCACTTTCTGAGCAGACTGGTCTACAGGAAGCCGTCTGGGTTTGGAAGAGCACAGGTGTGTGGAGCAGGACCTTCCTCTAGAGAGGAAGGGAACTTCAGACTTAAACCTTCCATTTCCATTTGCTGGCATCCATCATAACCAAGTTTTTAGGTTTTAAAGACATGTGGTAAGGTTTCATTTGTAGATGTTGGTGGTCCCCTGTCATTCTTTGCGGTTATTGTTTGATATTGAACAGAGTACAGTAAATAAGATTTTTCTTTCTCTTGCCGCAGGTTGATCTTTGTGTCTTCTTTTTCCCCAGTGTGCTTGAAAAAGAAACCCAAAAAACAAACCACGAAAAACCATTTTTGTCTTCTTTCCAGTTTCTATGGGGAAACAGTATTTTTCTTTCCAAACCAGGAAGAAGATCTCCCTCCCTGAAACTGCTGTCTTCAGCCTGTGGCTTCGTCACTTACCAAGCCTTGAAAAAGCCACATTATATCTTCTAGACCAGCTGGTTTCCATACAGTTGAATTCACTGGAAGAAGTGGTTTGTGTCATAAAAGACTCGTTACTGGTATGTGCAACATGTAGTGCATTTGATACTGCTCTGTCATGCTTCAGAAGTGACAGAGTTTCAAATTTCTCAGCATATTTGAGGGAGATAGCTATCATTTGGCATATAGCTTTGCTAATACGAAGGCAAATCTGGGGTCTTAAAAATGTCACTAAATATTTAGTTTTTACACTGAATTGGTAGAAGAGAAAAAAGTTTTCATCCAGTGATGGGAGTGCCTAGTACCTGCCTCTGTCTTATAAAATTCTAAACTTTGGCCAGGGAGGATTTAAATCTGTTATTTCAGTCTTCATGCCCATGGGAGTTTAGCAGTTTAAACAATTGAAATTCCTTGTATATTATTATATTATAGACTGCTTAGTTGATTTTGTTTGCAGTGTGACCAAAATACTTAGTACAAAACATTTGCTAAACTGTAACTCGTTTTCAAATGCAGTTTATGCAGTGCACTAAAAATCTTTCTGATAAGAAAACATGACACAATACCTTTTCCAAAATAAGGAGCTAGTTTGCAACACTAAATCTAACTTTAATTCTTAATTAGAGTGCATGTGTGCTATGCACTTAAATTATGTTTTTCATAAAATAGGACTAAAAAATGGCATGCAGTATGTATTTTCAGCCTATGAAACTGCTTACAGAGTATGTACAGTGTAGATAGGAAAAGAATGATGCCTTTAAATATTCTTAAGTTTTTAATTGAATCTGCAGATTTCCATTTTAGGAATCCATTACTATACTTGCAAATCTCATAATGCTTGGCATCAACAGGACTTTGTATGCCATCTGGGGACCTAGGTATTCTAGAAGATAGAGGTATATACAAGGCCTGTGCCTCATTTTTCTGTATCAGATACACTGTGAGTTGAATAGAGCATATAGTACCACACATGGCTAAAGAAAAAAAAATAGAAGTATCTCGGTTATACATAAGGAGAAGTAAAATCTTTGTTTTGATTATTGGTTTATTGTTGTTTGTTAACAATGTTCTTATTTGTTGTCTTCACATCCTGATCCCCAAAAATAATGGAACACTACTGTGCTGCCACACTTAGGTTGTCCTCACTTGCCTCTGCTCCAGAGTCTGCTTTCAAAATAAGATATCCACAGAGTGGAAAGACCAGTGCAGCAACTTTGAATGCTGGTTTAGAGAGGACATCCTGTGGACAAGGAGTGGAATGAATGGAGGCATAAAGAACAGAGCAGTTAGAAGATGGATGTTGCTGATTGATAGGCATAGATAAGAGTGAGGGTGCATACATGGGAGATGGCATACCAATTAAAAACAAAAGGATTAGTAGCTTAAGTGGGGCAGTATAGAAGAAAAAGATTTGATCCAGAAATTGTGTTCTTAAATATTTAATATGTTGTACAGCTTGTATGTGGTACTATAAAGATACTTGTGTGACACTAGATCAGGCAGTACTTTGAAACTGAGAGTATGATTAATTTAGCCTGCTAGAAAGATATGTGAATATTTATTTAGGAACGTGGTTGTGCGTTTTTGGCAGTTGGATTATTTGTAGGATTTGACCTCTGTTTGCCTTATGGATATGGTAATAAAAAGACAAAACCTGATTTTTTTTTTATTCCCCCCCCATTTGGAGGAAAACCTCTAGAGCACAAATAGGCACAAATATGTTAGTGATTTGATTATAGTATATGATAAGAATGAAATTACAATAAGCTCTTTCATAATTTCATTTCTATCTTCAAACAGTAACCAAACTCTATGTAAACCTCATAGAATTCTGTGGTACCCAGGTAGTTGTAAAACACCACACTTGTGAAAGAAACCTGATATGCACTACTCTTACATTTTTAAATCCAAGAGTAATTGTAGTGTGATGGTCCACTAACTTGTGTTTTATATGGTATGCTATTAGGCTTGTGGGTCTGGAGCTAAACTGGAATTAATATTGGAAATTCTATAGTTGCTCAGAAGTAATAAAAACAAGTGAAATGACCATCACAAATAGTTTTTTAGGTTCTTAGAATTAGGTGGGTGAGTAGATGTCTTCTTTTCTGAAGTAACTGCAGGGTTCCTATGTGTATGTGTGTTATCAACTTAAATTTAAATAAATACACATATTTAATTATATGCTTTACCAGAAATGCATAGGTATGTGTATAAACACATTTTTAAAGCACATGTATGTAAAAAGAGATGTGAATGGATCAGTATCAACTACAGTTTGTGTTCTTAGTTCTTACAGTTCTTAGATAGCTTTCCAAAGTGGTTTTATTTATTCCAAAGTTATGTTGCAAGAAAAGTGCAATAGGGTGATAGGGACTAAAATTGGCCAGTTTCTCCTTATCAACATCTGTTACTGCTGTGTTTTGTTTTTCCACCTTACCATCATTCCCAAGTCCAGCCCAGCACTGAAATTATGTTATACTCTGCAGTTAAAGCTCTCCCTGCGGGGTCTCCCTTGCTGTTATTTTTCTTCAGCATTATAGAGCAAATACAGTTCTGGTGGGTGATACGGTGACTCCCTTGTTGCCTGACAGGATACCACACTGGAGACTGCTCTGGTTCCCATGCCCTTGCACTGACCTCTTCCTCTGCTTTATCCCCAAGTTTTGAGTCTAGCTGGTTCCAAGCTCACCTTTCATTGGGAACTGTGCCGATGAAACAGGCATTAATGGGGGAAAAAGGAAGCAGCTTTTTTTTCTTGTAATACATTCCAGCTAGGTTACAATTAGTTCCCACAGTATTACCTGTCTTCAAAACCTGTATGATTGTAGAATTCTTGAAACAATGCACACTAATTTGTTCATCGTGTTGGTGAATTCAGGAGTTTTTTAAACCTCAGTGAAGAGATGTTTGTGCTTTCAAAATAAGTGCATGCTTCAAAATAGAGATACATTTGGCATTTGGTATGAGAAAAGAATTAAGTGCATATGAGTCTGGAAGTCAAGAGATCTCGTATTTGTGGTGTACTACCTCAAATCTTATGCTGTGTGATCCTGAGCACAGGATCCTATGTTTACTCACAATCGTGGCTGTTTTAGAGATCATTCTATGATGTGAATAAAATGCACTGTATGATTATTAGGCTGTTCTTCTTTGTGCCATTTACTTGCTTCCTGTAGATACAACTGTATTTTTATTATTTCTTTATTCATTTCTGGCTTTGTATTATAAATTACTGCTCTATGATTCTTCTTTCTGATACTATAAATGCAAGAGTAGTGTAGTTCTATAGAACTTGTATTTGTAATAGTTTATGTTAGAGTGTATTGTCCTGGTTTTAGCTGTTTTATTTCTTTCAAAAATCCCAGTGTTGTTTTTGGTTTCTTTTCTTCTGAAGGAGCACACACTCTTAAAATATGTAATCATAATATCACACATGTAGCTCCAATTGTGTTTGAATCTTTTTGATTTAGTGTTATGTTTTGCATGTTTTCAAAGTGATGGAATAAGCTCCTGGAAAGTATGTTTGGTTTTCTGAGCTTTCTGTGGAAAATATTGCATAGTCACAGACAAGACTATTGAAATGTAAAATGCCTTTTTATTTTGAAAAAATAAGGAGATAATGTCAGCAATTGAAAACGCTATGAGAATCCCTTCTGAAACTGATCATCCCTCCCAAACTCCAGAACTGCTGTTGGATGCAGCAGAATTGTGCTGCCTGCTCAAGTCCCGCTACACAACAGGCACATCTGCAGAGTGCTTTAGAGACTTTTGCACTATGATAGCATTCTTACTTGCAGATTAATTCCATGTAGTCCATTGATCAAAATCTTGTGGAAATAGATAACAGTGGGTTTTTTGGGAGGTGGGTTTGGTTGGTTGGTTTTTGTTTTCGCCTTTGAATACCGGTGCTGAAATTCGTATTGATTTCAGTAGTGTAGATTAAATACTAGAAGCTATTAGCTGCAGTTTCTTGTAGTGAGTACTACCGTGACTTTCCTGCGGTCTGGCAGGAAAGGGTGGAGAGTTTTTCACTGTTGCATACAGTACATTTATTTTTGTTTTGTTCAGAAGATTTGATCTTGATATGTATGGCACTGTGCTGATGGACCATTTCTGGTTTATGTTCAGTATATCTTAACAACAGTGGGTTGGTACCTCATCATAGAAGTGTGTGTACAAAAGTAGGTGGGGTGTCTCAGAACTGCAGAATGGCTGGGGTTCAAGGTGCCTCTGGAGATTGTGTAGCCCAAGTTCCTCTTTTTTTTAATTAAAATTTTTAATTAAAAAAACAAAACAGAAAAAAAAAAACCCAAAAAAGCCAAAACAAATAAACAAAAAAAAAACCCACCACAAAACCGAAAAATACCCTTGTCTCTCTTTTGTCTCATCCAGCCAGTCTTTTTTTCCCTGCCTCTAACGGTGGGAGCTTGGAGGTCAGCCTTGCAACAAGCTGCATGCTGTTCTCCGCGCGTCCAAAAAGCCGGCTGTAAACGCTCTCGAGCACTAGATGGCACACGTTCAACAGGACAACTTAGCTACGGCTATGTGACAAACAAAAAGTGTGGTGAAACATGAAAATGAGGTGCCATCTAATGTTTGCAGTATGGCAAAGATTAAACACAACTGTGAGAAACAAGAAGCTTTTCTAGACAGTTTGTATTAAATGTTGTCTCTTTATTTTCTGATTATCATATAGGGATCATATAGAATAAATTCCTCATTCCTCCTGTGTGCAGAAAAAAAAAATTCTATTAGTACTTTTTAGTTTGAAACAAATGCATAAAAGTTTGGGGTTTTTTTAATAGTTTGTCAGGTACATAAGGCTATTAAATGCCATTTATAAACACTATTTCTTCCATGCATGATTAAGTTTATAGAATGCTTTTTGTTGAATGTGCTTACTCTGGATTGTTCAAGAGCTATATTTTTATCAAGTCTGCAGGTGTTAACTTGAGAAACACAAAGTGTGAATTTGTTTTGTGAGTTAGGAAAAATATACTTTGGGAAATGTGTAAATAGTTCATTATTCTTGGTGCTCTATAAAAGCCTGATATATGTTAGAACTTAAGAATATGGGATTAGAAAGTAGTATGTGTACTAGTGCATGATTAATGCAACAACTTATAACAGTCTTATGTGTGTTAGTGTGATAAAAAGCCTTAGTTGTTTAGAAAAAAAAAGTGCATTTTGATGTGCTGAGATATTTAGCTAGTACTAGCAACTCTGAAATTCACAGAAGGTAACACTGAAAAAAATGTCTTGGACCAAAATGTGTGTGCTATTAAAGACAAAGTGATAACATAAAATAATTTTCTGGAATTTAATTTTGAAAGTGTAGCAAGAATCTCAAAGCACATCCAAAAGTGACTGTCCATGAAGAAGAAGAAAAGCTTTTTGTAAACGCGCTCCCTGTCTCTTGCCTGTAGCAACTGCATGCAACAACCTGTTTTTTCTGTCACCCGTAGTATTTTCAGTGGTTGTTGTCATAAACAGCTTGGTATCCCAGGTGTTTGCATTTACCAGCTGTTGACCTGCCTGCTATCGCTGTGGATCTCCTTCCATGACATAGTTATTTTTAAGAACCTAATCCTAAGAAAATCTGAGGGTTTAGTAAGAGTTGATCTGAGAATTAGAGTTTAATAATTGCATTGTAATGGTATCCCTGAGTTAAATAATACAGTGTAAATAATAACATGTAAATAATACAGTGGCAGATGTTTGAGTTGTTTCTTATGAATGACTAATTTTGTTTCATTTGTTACCAACAGCCACAAGCAGCAAGCCATCCTGCCATTTTCAGAATTGTTAATGAAATTTTCAAGTAAGTTTTGAAGTTATAGTGGAAATTGTTTCGAATGACCAGTTTAAACATTGAGGTTTTCTTCATGACAAGAAGGAGTATTATAACCTGGGACGTAATAAAATTTCAGGCTATCTTTATCTGCATGCCTTAGTGTCCACTTCCATGTAGTACACTGCAAATAATAAAAAAACGTTAAAACTTTTGTGAACTTTACATAAAAGCTATATTATAATAATCATTGATACAGTTGACTACACTGTATTTTAGCCTTTGAAGTTTAAAATTTATTTTGTACTTCAATAGATATTTCTGGTTGAAATATGGTATTAAGGTGAAATTTTTAAATGCTGAAATGGTTTGTCCCATGCCAGTATGAAGATGGAATTTAGCTAAAACATTTGCATTTACAATGTAGCCCCTTTACATTATGTATTGTTTACCACATGAGGGCTTCCGATACTTTGTACTCAGATTTCAGCAGCTGCTTTACTTCACTTGATGACTCATTTTATCCTTTTGTTTAAGTAGGTCTACTGCCAGCGTTATCAGTATTACAGTTTTGATAAAAATACATTTAGTGACTGAAATTCTTTGTGCATAAAGTGTTTTCCTTCTTAAGAAAGAAAGATGTGTATGTTTGCTGTGTTTGTGTGTCTGTGTATATGTTTAGGTTTGTGCAGGCAAAACAGAAGAGTCTTTGCTGCAGGAACTGTAGCCTGCTGTTCTTGAGAGTGAAACCACTTGGCAAGCTAATGCTGTGGCAGTCCTTTCTCTGCTGTGGTCCAGTGTCTGAGCACAGCTAACATTTTCTGAACAGTCAAGACCAGGGTCTTTCCCAAAGACAAGTGCACGTGAAAATTGACATGACTTCAACAGGCGTATACTAATGTCTTAGGCTGGAGGCTGTATATGATGGTATAGGCTGGCAAAATATGTTCAAGTTTCTTGACTTATTTAGGGGCATGGTATGTAAAATATTTTCTAAAATTAACGTGAGACTACATAAGTCTTTTCCCTCCTTTCCATTTGGTAGAAAGGGATGAGATGTTTCTCAGATCATAGAATCACAAAATGGTTTGGGTTGGAAAGGACCTCAAGATCATTTAGTTCCAACCCCCCTGTCATGGGCAGGGATGCCTCACACTAGACCATGTCACCCAAGGCTCTGTCCAACCTGGCCTTGAACACCGCCAGGGATGGAGCATTCACAACTTCCTTGGGCAACCTGTTCCAGTGCTTCACCACCTTCACAATGAAGAACTTCTTCCTTACATCTAACCTGAACTTCCCCTCTTTAAGTGTAAACCTATCACCCCTTGTCCTGTTGCTACAGTCCCTGATGAAGAATCCCTCTCCAGAATCCTTCTAGGCCCCCTACAGGTACTGGAAGGCTGCTATGAGGTCTCCACGCAGCCTTCTCTTCTCCAGGCTGAACAGCCCCAACTTTCTCAGCCTGTCTTCATACGGGAGGTGCTCCAGCCCCCTTATCATCCTCGTGGCCCTCCTCTGGACTTGCTGCAGCAGCTCCATGTCCTTCTTATGTTGAGGACACCAGAACTGCAGACAGTACTCCAAGTGGGGTCTCACAAGAGCAGAGCAGAGGATGAGGATCACCTGCTTCAACCTGCAGGGACACCTTCCACTAGTCCAGGTTGCTCAAAGCCCCATCTAACCTGGCCTTGAACATTTCCAGGAATTGGATATCCACACCTTCCTTTCAGCTGTTATGAAGAGGTGTGCAGACATTAAAATACTATTCAAGATTTAGTCGTGAGATTTTAGAATGCTGCTGATAAAGAACCTGTATTTCATTGCTTGGAAACTGTGTTGAGTTTCTACAGCTGGCACAAAATTCCTTTTATTTTGGGAGTATTTCTTATGTTAGAAGTACAGATCTAAGCATTTTTTGTCTTTCAAGGGATAACTTTTCCTGGTGTTTGCATTCTTTTCCTTGAAGTTGATTGTGCTATATTATTTGTCTTAATATTGTTTTATCTACTTTGGATATAAAACCTTTTGGGTTTATATCCCAGGTAGAAGCTTATTTTGTTGCTATGTGCAGTATACAGAAGTCCATATGCCTAGACTGTCTTGAGTTTCTGTATGCTGGTTTTTGTGTTTATATTAGTGATATTTGCCTGTAGTTATGTGAAATTTCTCTGCTACAGTAATATTAGCTGTTCTTATCTGTTAGATCATTATGGATTTAGATCATTATGCTTTGCTGCCCATGTGTTTTTCTGCACCATTTGCTCAAGGTTACATTATACCCTGTCGAAGGCCACTTAAAGCTTTCACCTTCATGAACCTCCACAGCAGATTTTATGATTTCATCAGTGAAAGTACATTGAAATGCATTGGTTCCTAATTAAATCTGTAGCAAGGACTGATCTAAAGTACACCTTTGGCATACACTCATTTCTGTTTGTGCTGCTGATTCATTGCTTAATGATTACTTAGGAGTCACAGCAATTGAACAGCAGCTGTATTATTTAATATTTCAGTTCAGTGTCTTTGTATAGCTTTTAAAATATGTAATTTGTGAATATGATCAACAACTTTTCTTGCTTGTTTCCCTGGCTCCAGAAGGAGTGTTACATTTAACAGTTTAAGTCAGGTACCGTACCTGAGGAGATTGTACTAGATTGTACTTTCTCTCTAATTTGACATGGCCTATGGGATACAATCCCACAGAACACTCAAGTATGCTTAACTGTAGACATGAGAATAGTTGATCTGAACCCAGTAAGATTGTTCAGACACCAAATTTTCCTAATAAAGTTGTGGTAGTCTCTTTTTTAGTTTTACATTTTTTTTTCTACTGGTTGGATAAATTGTGTGTCTGCATTTATACTATATATACTTACAAAATCTAGTTTATTTGTAGGAGCTGCATATGGAGGTGTGGGGGGGTGTGGCATTTTTTTAAAGTAAAAATAGAATTTAAAAAGCCTGTGAAGTTAGTATTTGTCAGGCATAATGAGCTCAGACACAACTTGAATCTACAGCATACAAACAATGTACCTTTTTTCTCCTTCATTTCAATTAACAGTGGTGTGACAGGCAGACTCATTATCTGATCTGTCGTAATCTCACTTCTCTATGCTTAGGAATGCGTTGCTGAAAACTGATGGAACTCCAGAAGTTATGACCATAATACAGGTGTTTACACAGCTTTTCCTTCAGGCTCATCAGAATGAAAACAAGCAGGTTAGTCAAGATCTATTTCTAAATGTTTCTTTTCAGTAAGAAGATAGGAAATTTCGCGATGAACAATTCTGCTCTTAAGAATGGTGACTGAATATAATGAGCTAAATAATAGCATCTCCCTATAGCTGTGTATATATGCCAAGGTTCAGTTCAAACATTTTCACCTGTGAATAAAATTATAGTGTGAAAGCAATATGTAAGAGCAATTTGCGTGACTTCACCCTGGATTTTCACAGGGCTGGTTCACCTGATGGTTAAGTTTCTATCTGTATAGTGAACATGATCATATAATCATCTGTGTTTGATAGAAAGGATGAAAACCTTTATAAACACATTTTATGTTTGCAGTGGCAGGGGTTTTGGTAAGTGAAACACAAATAATAACCTCATCCTCATTTCCCCACATAATTAGAAGTAGGATACCAAATAGTCAGATTTGTCTGTTCAGAAGGTAAAAGGTGCAATACACACTGGTTTCAATTTCTGGTCTTCACCATTTGCTTTCAGAAGCTTTTCCCCAGCCTAAAGATTCAGGTATCACGGCTTAATGTCTCTTCTTCTGCACAGATTTCTATACAGGACTTACTGAACTAAGTAGAAATATTTTTGTATGTATTAATTTAAATAAGAGCAGGATTAGCGTCTCATTTTTAAATTTTGAAATGGAGATATGAAAAAGTCTTGTCTCGTTAACAGGTTGCAAACTCCTTTTTAGGATCCCAAATCACACTGTCATTTTGTTTGGTTGCTTAACTACAAATCATAAGTTTGAAAAGTATCCTGTCTTTTAATAGATTTCACTTTAGACTTAAGAAAATTTTCAGTTCTACCTAAAAAGTTGCATCTTTTTAGGTAGTTAAGAAAATTCTGGAATTTTTTGGAACTTGTGATGCGTTGTCCTTTAATAAGTGGTGTGATTGAATCTGCCTTCTAGCTCCAGGCAACATGAGTTGGGGATGAAACTGCAACTGTCTTGCTTAACATACAGGTGCTGTGTATGTTAATTTTATGCCACCCTGGCTGCAGGCTAGCAGCACACTGTGTAGCCCCAGGTGGGGGTAACTGGGTGGAAAAGCACATGTAAAGATTCCACACTCATCACACACACAAAAGCCATTCGTGTTATGCAGGTGATAAATTTGCTTCAGGGTAAAAGTCCTTCACGTATTGGTCTTGCAACATGGACTATTGTCCGCTTTTTCTGAAGTACTTTTAAATGTTGTTTCCTCTATTTAACTTGTATATAGTTTAATTCATGGGCTCTAGTTAAGGTATTGTCTTCAATATTACAATGTTAAATTTCTTGTTTCACGGTTTGTGAATCAGCCATAATGTTAACTAAGAGTTGGCTTGGAAAAACGCAGGCACAGACTGCTTCTTTAACTTTGTTTCAATCAGTCAGATCACATTTTTTTGTCGTACCAATATTACGTATGTTTGTAAGGCACCTGTCTTTGTGGTATCTGGATGCCCTTTATAGGACATAATGTGCTCCATTAGCATTTCACTCAGGAATAGTAGACCCATTAATGACATAAGATGAAGAGGGTTTGGCTGGGTCATCTAAGATCATAGGAATTTATAGTATGATTAATTGAAAAAAGGCTAGGCAAACAGATGTGTCCCCAAAATTTTCGAAAGAACCAGGTCATGTCTGGCAGTTGCACAGGTTTGCAAGGTAGGAGGAGAATGACTATCGATTGCAGTGTGACTGCTGTCAGAAACAGCTGTCTTTTCTAATAACTTTGTAGACTTTTTATAGAGAACAAGGTTGGCAGAAGGAAAGCTGAAGAATATGAAAAAGTGCAACAGGGGTTAGGAATTAAATTGTTTAATCTATGTATGGGGAGAGTGAAAAAGATATAAATGGAACATGGGGTTTAGACCTACTTAGGAAAAAAGACCATTTATGTAGTCATTGAATAAGGAATTTAAGAGTGGGTGTACTGAGGTCACTGTTGGGATAATCCTTTCCATGTTTTGTACAAGCAGATTTTCTTCAAGTTTGTGATGGCAGTGAAAGCTGACCAAAGGATATTTGGGTCACATTGCTCATAAATTTATGAACTTAAAGTTCATGGGTTTAGTTGATGGAAACTTTAATTTCCTCCAGGATTATTTTCCCCTGATGATTTCAGAATTGTCAGTGGTTTTCACCTGGGAATTTTGTTTTATATCACAGGATAAATATTTTAAGCCAGTGTTCAACTTTTATTTCCTGTTATACATCAGGGAAATTATTATAACTAGCTACATCTAGACTCATTCTGTCTCTTTGAACCTTGTTTTACAGTTTGTGATGGGTTATGTAAGGAAAAAACCTGCCTAAAATACTGCATATGCATGATAGGAAGCAAATTGGGGTTTTTTTGCTTTGCTTGAACAGTGTGCTGAAAACTGGTTTTCACTTACTTTACAATACTCTTACCATATGTAATTCTGCAGGTTGTCTTGGCTACTACTGACTGTGTTAAGGGCTGCTTTTTCATGGTGATTTTTGGTGCAAGCTGATTGGTTGCATATATACTTTAGTATAGGGATTATTAATTTTTAATCAACCTAATTCCACTTGGGAAGTAGTCTTTTAGAGTCCTACCATACCAGTGATAGTCTGTCTGAGAGTACTGCATATGTTTGCTGTAATTTCAATTAATTGTTTTTTACAGAACAAAAAATGAGTACAGAGAGAATGTGTCATTCTCTTTATTTACAAGATGCATGCATCTATATATCCAAAATAAATGAGTTACTAAATATGGTCTTTCTTGGATTTAGAAATTATTACATTTTATATAATGTTTCTTACATATATATGTATTTCATAGATTCTGTGTTTTAAGAGATGATCTATTTACTGGATACTTCATTATTTCTAAAGAAAGGAGACAGAATAGTTCTAAGGTCATTGGTATGGAGACTTAATGACAGAATCATAGAGTGGTTGAGGTTTGTGGCCCTTCGTTTAACTCTCTCCAGTATGTTCATGTCTCTCTTGTGCTAAGGAACCTAAAACTGGACATAGTACTGCAGGTTTGGCTGCTGGAGAGGCTGCTCACCAGCGCTGAGGAGAGGGGAAGGATCACCTCCCTTGACCTGCTGGCAGTCCTTTGCATCATGCAGCTCAAGATAAAATTTGTTGCCTTTGCGGCAAGGGCACAGTGCTGGCTCACATTCAACTTGGTGTCCATCCGGACCCCCAGGTGCTTTTCTGCAAAGCTGCTTTCCAGTTTCCCAGCCTGTACTGGTGCCTGGGGTTGTTCCTTCCCAGGTGCAGGACTTTGTACTTTCTCCTTGTTGAACTTCATGAGGCTTCTGTCAGCCCATTTCTCCAACCTGTCACAGCTCCTCTGGATGGCAGCACAACCCTTCAGCATATCAGCCACTCCTCCCAGTTCGGTGTCTCTCTGCCCCTTCATGCAGATCATTAATGAAGATGTTGAACAGGATCAAACACAGTATTGACACCTGCAGTACACCACTAGTTACTGGCCTCCAACCAGACTTTGTGCCACTGATCACCACCCTCTGGGCCTGGCTGTTCAGATGGTTTTCAGTCCACCTCAAATGTGTTTCATTTGCCTTTTCATATGCATACCACACATTATACAAGCCTGCAGTACATGTTTGCAGAACAGAAAGATTAAAGGTATGATTAAAGGTATGTTGCTGCTACTCTAAACTACACAAGCAGCAACGTTCATAGTATACAAATCATACATACCCAGCTAAACTGACGAGTCTGTTATGTGTGACTACCCTACCTTGTGCTGAATCAGATCCTAAGAATTTTAGGTTTCCATTTCTGAATAGAAGGCAATAATCCACATCACACTTTCAGATATTGTAGATGTTATTAGTTCCTAGTTTAAATATGAACCTGCTCACACTGGAAAATGAAATTAAACTAATTGGTGTCTCTTTTAACCTCTGTATGTTAAGAGTGAAGACCTGGTATTACAGGGAAAAAGCCTAAAAATATTAAAATGTAATTTTCTTCCTAATCTGAATTTTTTTTTAATGCATATAGTTAAAAAATACATAAGTACATTTTCTAAGCAAGCTTTTCCTAACTATCCCCTTCTTTCTTCAAACAAAATCCTAAAATTAAGTGTAGAGTTACTTTTCTCTTGCTTCAGTCTGTATTGTTAATTACTACCTTAGATGAGATTGTTTATTGTGGGTTTGTTTTGAAAACTGACCTGAAAGCTCTTAAAATAATGATTTTGTATCTTAGCATAAATATCCACTGAAGGCGTACTTCCCTCACCATCACCAGCCTCTTGTAACAGCTTTACTCAGACGTCCTTTTGGTAAGTTTCTTCATGAAATATTTGTAGTATTAGCCAACCTGCATGATCTGTGTACCTATTCAAATAACTTTAAAAGGCATGAATACAAAATTTTGCCATTTCTTAAACAGGTTTTGTTGACTTATCAGTTTTAATAATCTTTTAATATTTTTTTGGGGGTAGGTTTTAGATTGTCCTGAAAAAAAACAAATTCTCATGTAACAATAATGCAGATGTTACTTTAAAGAAAACTAAACCAGAAGTGAATTACAAAGAAAGGGTGCTTAATTTTCTAGAAGTTAACACAAGTTACTGAGATTGTAAAAATACAAAATATTCTTTTAGTAGTTGTCATGAAAATTTTCATACGTATATTACAACAAATAGCCTTGCCAGTTGTCTCTGAAGCTTGAATTCTGCTGATTTTTTAGATTACAAACTTTATCTTTTTTCAGGTTTCCCATTTCTGTAGATCAATGTGATGCAATTTTATGATACTGCTCAATATGATACAGTTTGTCATGAGCAATAATTTCAGCTAGTACAAGAGCCTCTGAGAATGTTACTGCACTGATTATGTATTGAGATAGCATTTACACAAGGGTATATCAGCCTCATTTGAATACTGCTAGCTGCACTTCATCACTTAGCTTTGTGAATGAATTGTTCTAAGAAACTCACTAATCGGTACTGTTGAAAATTGGGAAATTTTAAAATTATTTAAATGCTTTATGGTAACTGAATCAAATTGCACAAATTTTAATGTCCAATTAATATGGTTAATTTCACTAGCTGGACAGAGTAGAATTTAAAGTTTTATGTTCATTCTCCCTCCTCAGAGCTGCCATCTACACACTGGCCTGCACATTTAAAACACATTTCAGATACGCTCAAAGCATTGGTAGAAGATACAAATGTTAGGTAAGCAGTATTGTATTTTCTAATTTTTTGTCCTTTGTATGTTACTTTGTGAAAAGACATGTCATTTGGAGTCTTTAGTGGCTACATTTCATCATTTTCTCCTTATTCTCATAGTAGAGATTTGTTTTGAAGAATAGGACTTTGTTTACATAGTAAACCTGAAGTTTGTAGCACCTATAGACCTGTCCCATAAGCCTCTGAGTAAATAAAATCTTGGTCCTTTCATTTCAGCAAGTAGCTAGCTGTGTAACAGAATTGCTTACTTGCCTACTTTCCCATTTCTCTCCCCAAACTTTTAAAACTGATTCTGGATTAAAAAACAAGAACTCTTCCAACCAGAAGAGCAGCTAATATTGGAAAGAGCCTGTTGTGAACAGTACCATTTTATTTGTATTTGCTTTTTGCAGGCTTGTGCAAACATCCAAACTTCCAACTTCTTTTTTTCTTTTCATACAGATGTGACTGCTAGCCTGCAGTATCATTGTTTGTTGTATTAGTGTTGGAGCTGATCCTCCATGTTTCTGACCTGTGGCCCTTAACCTTTTTTTTTTCCCAAATAGTTGCTATAATGATGATAGTGTTTGCGTACATGAATTCTGCTTTGTTAGTAGATGCTCTAGGACTGTATCAAAAGAGTTATAGAAGATACATCTCTCTGTTGCTGCCCTGTATTTCTTTCATATCAGGTGTGATGAGAACCAACTTGCTTAGATCTGCTCCAAAAGTCAGCTTTCTAAAGAATGTTGAACAGCTTTTAGATTTAAAGAAACCAATTTAGTTTTTTTTTTAAACCTGAAATATTTTGATAGAAACATAGAATGCTTAGGCAAATAGACTTGCAAAAGATACCCAACTGTCCCCCTCTGTCCTGGAAGACTGATACTTGCTTCCACACTTGGTTTCAGTTAACTTATGGAGACATTTTTTGTTGTTGTTGAGTGGCAGAGAAGGCTTTTTGCTGTTTTCCCTCTGAGGCCAAGCTCTTTGCTGTCAGCTTCTCACTTTCTGTGTAACCTGCAGTTCAGTGCTATGTCTCACATGTTCACCCCTGAAATTTGTCAAACCTTTCCACCCTTGGAGTGTGACCAGTAGCTGACCCTGACTTCTTAAAGAAACACATAACTCAGAATAAACAAATAAAACAAATATTATCTATCACACTGTATTACAATAATAGAAACACACCAAGTTCTCCTTCTGTGACCGAGCCCTCTCTTGGCTTATATGGTCTTTTTCCCCCTTTGCTTTGATAGTACAGTAGTTTGAATAGTATTGTACTTGCCAGAATATTCTCTTACTTTCTTTAGAATTCATGGAACAATTATGTTTTCACCAAACCCCTCTCAGTTTAAGAGAAAATGGATCTGGCTTGAGTTTTTAAATACTAATATTCACGAGGAAACGGTACAATTTTCTTTCATTGCTTTATTCCTGATTCTGCATTCTTTCTACTTAGTAAGATTAACAGAGTGAAAAATACTACTATACAGGGTTTCCTCTTGCTTCTTATAATCAGTGCTCTCTGTATAGCTTGTTTTTAAATGGTTTTATTTTACACCAAATGTAACTCTTCCAGCAACGTGCTGTGTACTTCTAATCAACAGATTGCCTTTGTGCCACTATTATTACATGAAGTCATCTCAGTGAACAGTAAATATTATAGGACATTTTAAATCAGAAATCAAGTGATGTACATTTTGCAGGGGTAAGTCCCAGAGAAAGTGAAGGGCTGCTTTTGGCAATGACAGTGGAACAGTTGACATAGGTACCACTACTGAGCAGGCAGAAACAGCAGCAGGGGCAGAAGTGGGGGGTACGCAACTCCATACTCAGCGCTGTGATGGTACAGGAAAGTTATGGTGAGTTGAAAGTGCAGTGGTGCCTAGGCTCTCTAGGCAAGAATTAAATCCTATTCTGCTAAGTATTTGTTAATGTTTAATGCCTAAAGTTTAAGGATTTGTATTTACCCTTTCAGCTATGAACACCTGCAGTCCTAAATACTGCCAATGTTACCCTAAGTATAGTTACCTGTTATCAGTATTTAACTTTTAATTAAATTCCATCTTTGATTTTAAATCACTGGGTTTCAAAGCTAGCTTATCCACTTACGTTGTCACAGCATTGACTTACGGTCAGATAAGTACGCTGTTGTCCCAGGTCATAATCACATCTGTTCGGTTTTTTTCAAAGGTTTTTAATATTGAGTTTCCAGATTCTAGTATCTTCAAAGACTTTACTAGTGCTGATCCTGTTCCATTAGCTAAGGAATTTTACTCTCAGATTTTGTCACACATCACTAGTGCCCTGCATTCTGAGCCATCCTGCTGCCCCTCCAAAAGCTGTGGAATATCAGCAGTGGTGACTTTCATAACAGTCGCCTCAGTACTCTATTTTCTCTCTATGCCAACCTCTTATGTCTGATGTCAGTTAACATGCTTATCAAAAAATACCCATGTGGTGGATTTGTGTCCTAGGAATAGGATTTTAATACCCTGAGATTGTATGTCATATACACAATATCATTTTCAGGATCAGTAATTTCTGGGATACCTGTAGACAACATCAGTGACCAGTATACTCTGGACAGAATACTATCTACACACACCACACCTTTGTCCATAAAACTGTGCGTGCCACTCTTTCAGAAAGTCTTAAATATAAAGCAATATATTCCAACTATGATCTTGTCATATTCCCCAGATAATGTGATGGTATTGGACAACTTTATCAACTCCTGAAATTTCTAAGATCTATTGGAGTTTCCTACAAGGGGTGGCACAGCAGCTCTTGAAGTCCCATGGAATAAAGCATAAGAAAAACCTCTAATTCTTAAAACTTTTCCCAAACTTAATAGGAATACTTGGTTCTTAATCTGCTTCCAGCTGTACTTCTGTCTGTCCTTCCTTCCACATTTAGTTTGACTTTTTGCTTCGAGATGCCTACCATTATTTGCATCTCCCCGTTATTTCTCTTTAGTTTATTTTCACTTCAGAAGAGTACAACTGAGAAACTGCAGCAAGGAGGTGTGGTCCCTTCCTATTTTTCTTTTTCTTATGCAGAAACCCAGATGTAAATACCTTCAAAGTTTCCATTAAAGAGTACCTGAAATTTAAGAGTTGGGAGATTAATATCCTTAAAAACTTTATATTGAGTCCATCTAAATGTAATTCCTCATGAATTACCAAAACCCAGAAAATAACTTTGGAAAGCAACAGAAAGAAACTGGAAGGCAATATAAAGCAACAGTATCTTAAAATACAGCATTTGAGATATTACTTAAAGTTTTGAAAATCCTTCAGCTGGAGAGTATAGGTGATAAGGTTTAAATTTGTGATATGTATTTCATACATAATATTTTGTCACAGTTTATTAGAAGCTGGTGTAATGGATATTCTGTCCTACTGACAAAGTTAATCTGTTAGTAGTACTGGGTGTGTCTCCTTTGATCATGACTGCAAACAGTAGAGTAGTACATGGCTGTATGTTTAGCAGGTAAGGCATATCTATGGAAGAGTAGTTTCAGGATTTCTATTTTCATGCCAGCATGCCAGCACCCATTACAGTTAACATAACACATTTAAAAATGTTAAATAACAAGAAATACTTAATTTTATCTTTGTCATTTTCCAGTTCTCTTAGTGACCTTTTTGAAATCTGGTTTTTGGTTGTTCGTTTTGGAGAATGGCTGGATATTGCTGCAGAACAATTACTGAAGGCTGCTGTAGAACCAGATGCTTTGCTGTGGCTACTGGCATTTTACTACTGTCCTCAGAATGAAAATCAACAAAGGACTCAAACAATGGTGCGTAATGTAGTGATCGTAAGCAGCAATAAGAAGGCAGTAGTCGGCTTTTATCTTATTGCTATAAAATAAATAGTGCACACCAGAAAAATGAAAGTTCTATACTGGAGAAGGTATTGGCTTTTACAAGGTCTCCTGGAAACTGTGTTGCAGTGGAGAAGTTGAAAGATAATTTTGTGGATTTACTTGGTGACATCTAGAAAACATTTTTCCTCTTTTTAAAGTATATTGTAGAGATAAGCACCTTCTCGTCTTTCTTTTGGTAACTTCGGTGTTTTTAATCACTGATAAAACTACTCTAGGAATGGTATTTTTTTAATCACTGCATAGCATTGCTGTGTTACAGCATCTTCTGGTAAGGAAAGAGAAATTGCAACAGCAGTTGAAGCAGTAAAGATACTTTTCAGACACAGCTATGAATCCTAACCTTGCACATCTATTCTGATTTCTCTTACGTATCTTTACTGACATTCTGCATTTATGAAACTGTAAAATGTATGTTATATTCCCTCATATGCTAGGTTTCTCACAGAAGGAAGTGGTGTTCTAACCTCATGTGCTGTACTGCATGAAGAGTGCTGTGTGTCTGCATATGCATTCAGATAGCATGAAAGCCTTTAATTTAGACTATTATACAAGTTTGAACTGGCCCAAGCAATCTGTTCGACAAAGGCCAGATTCAAAATTTGGCTGAGCAGCTCCAGTTTTCTTTCATTTTAAAACAAATTCTGTTTGATTTAAAAATGCAGCTCAGTATACCATGCTAGTAAAACATCACACTTTCATTTTGCATCTAGTGGTCCATGTACCACAGTGCATTCTTCAACATTTTATTTCCTCCCTTCACCTCCTGCAACCCAGAGGGCACTAGAAACACAAGCTCACATCCCAAGCACTTTAAATTTTTCGTCTTTAATATCTTACAGTCTGGGAGTGGGGTAGGGTGCTGGCTGAGCGGAATTATGTTAGAGCTACAGTGAAATAAAGAAACTGGGGTTGGTTGGTGTTGGGAAAGAAGGCAACACCCAAGCAATAAACATGCATGAATGAAACCGAAGGACTGTAGGTGCAGATCTCTATATCATTGTTCTAACTCCAGCATCATAGAAGAAAATCACATTGACCCATATATAAAATTATTTCCCTGTGTCCCCCCTATTCTATCAGTTGGTTATTTTGTGATAATGTATGACAAACTTTAGTGAGAAAAAAGCTTTTCCACTGACAGCCCACGCATTACTCATCTCTTCCCAGGGGTCTAATATTTCAGTTCATTATGATTCTTTTCTGTAGTTACTTCAAGTAAGACTCATTTTTTCCACAGGTCAGGCTACTTCAGAAGCATTCCCACAGTTCATGCAAAGCTTCTACCTTTAGTTAGAGATTTACTTTTTCTTTTAATTTGTCCTTTGGCAGGTTAGCTCTCAGTTCTTTTAAATAGAGTGTTTTCTTCCTCAACCCCTGCACCAGTTAAGAATTAAGATAGGATGGGAACTTCTAGCAGATGCCAAGCTGGATGACTTTACATGCAGTGTATTTTTATGCGGAAAGGCATGCACTCATGACTTAGTATTTTGTCTTCCTGCTGCTTACTTTAGATAGCAGCTTAGTATCAGCAGGAGTGGAATGTATAGAGCTAAACTGATTTAAAGAAGAAGATGGCTAATTTGCTGTTTACCAGTCTTCATTCATATGTGCAGGACTGAATATACTGCTACTCAATCATTTGTTAGAGTCCTTTATACCTTTAGACTCTGAAACACTGAAGGAACAAATCTTGGAGGTTGGTCATAGTAACTTTGGCACTGAGTCTCCAAGGGCTTCAAGGGTGGGTGACATAATTCAAGAACAGCAGGTTTTTCAGACCATTTTATGTTGAATTGTTAATAGGGCAGGGCAAAGTCAGGTGAATGACTGAAACAAATTTTCCTAATTAACACAGTTGAGAAATGGCTTTTTCCTTTGGATCTGCAGTGGTGTATTTTTCCATTGTTCCTGCACTTACTCATTTTGGTTTTTTCTACCAGTTTGTTTTATTTTTAATATAGGGAACAGAATTATTGTTGTAATTTTTTGCAATAGTTGCTTATAGGTTTTTTTCCATTGTGTAGGTGCCAAAATCTTCTGGTTTTTACTCCCAATAAAAAATAGTTTTTATTGTCTAACTCAAAGGTAAAAACATAAGTTGCAAAGAACAAAGGAAGAAGGAAAAAAAATGCATTCTTACCAGAACATTTTATCAGGAGAGGCCAGGTTGCATGGGGATTTGCCTGATTTGTAGCAGCAATACTGAAATGAGCCCTTGAGGAGCCTCTGTTCTTTTTTCCACAATGCAAAAATCTGACTATGTTCTGCTGAAGGAATTTCTCCATTTCCGTTTATTATTAAAAAAGGTCAGATCCTGGCTCAATGCCCTGCCTGCTTAATTTGCAAGACCAAAGAAAGTTAAAAAATCCATTCTGCCCACCTCTGTCTGAATCAGTATGAAAGAAATGTGTACAGCCCTTCCTTCCCTGTTCTCCCTGCTCAAACTCTTTTCATGTTTGGGTAATTTCTGCCAAGGATTCAGTTTCCTGTTAGTGAATAAATCCAAAGGAAAAATACCATAGGTATGACCTTTACTCCTCTCTGATCCTACATCCTTTGAAATTGTTTCCTGCAGGTAGAAGCTAAAGCAGTCTACAATCATCTAATGATGCTCTTCAACTGTACAGTCCTTTCTGTCAAAGATCTGGAGGCTGCTGTACACGGTATAACAGATACAAAGCAGTGTTGTAACCAGCATCTTTTAACACATCTTCTTACCAACTTTTTGCTCTTTTCATCTGGTGGACATACGATTGCCCAGGAATTTATTTATCACGTAAGTGTTTCCCTTTTTTTCAATTTAAGTGAAACATGGGGGTTTTACTATTTTAGATCTAAGTTCCTACCTCTTAATAAAAAAAACCCCACAAAACACAGAACTAAAGAATATCATGACTACAGCAACTACACCTAACCTGCTACATCTCTATTTTCAGCCACAATCAAAATATTTTCCTTCTTAACACTTCTTGACAAGATGTCACTGAAAAGGTTGCTGTCCCAACAATACAGCTGTAGAAATAGTTGGAGCAGTAGCTTGCAATTAAGGGATACCTACAGTTCGTTTACACCTGGCATAGATAGCATGTCCAAACATTTTATTTTCCCCAATAATAAATTACTGCTGATCTGCTGCAGAGATGATGGAACTGTCTCCTGTCTGTTTTCCATTATGTGAAACAGCTAGTTACTGTTAGCATTGATGAGGCAGAAGCTTGGTCCTTTAGCAAAGCCAGAGAGGAAAATGGTATGATAAGAGAAAAAAAGAACGGAGACCTGAGGGAGTGTCACTTAAGGTGTGGAAAAAGCTAAAAAGGAGTAAAACGTTGGAAGCATCCCCATAGCATCTTGCTATATTGTTGCTGAGATTCTTTAAGTATATTGGTACAAACAGGAAAATGTGTTTCTCTCAAGGTAAATAGTGTTATCTCAGAATAAGATTAGGAATTTATTCCTTTCTAACTACAAAACCATACTCTTCCTAAGAAGTACAAGCCTTCTGTGCAAGCAGGTCTAGGCAAGTGTGAGGTTTTAGCACTTGTTTTTCCTTTCAGCAGCAGTGTGCTCTTATATCTGTATAGGCTATATGGCATGTATAAGGAGCCTGCTCTTACGATGCAGGGAACTGGTAACCTATTTTGGTGTTTATTCTCATGCTTATTTTAATTTGGCGGTGTTCTGGCTGACTAAACAGACATAACATTTTTCTGTTTAAGAAGGGCTAAGGTGTTTCTAGCATGTTAGGTACATGACCAGTTTCTCCTTTGCTCAAGAATATAATGATAAAATTTAGGGGGTTGTATGAACCTTTACAGTCTCCTGGGTTTAGTTTCTGAGAAGTGTGGCTGTTGAGCAGTGATGCTGCAATACATACTAGTCTTCTACTTTAAACCTCTTTGGGAAGAATAAAGGCAATTTCTTGTTTCTTTACAGAAAGCAACATAACTAACTTAAAAAACTCTTGAGTACTCCCCAGCGTGGGATGCTCATCAGCTGTTGTAGGCCAGAGTATGTTGGTCTGATCGTATCTGTCAAATACTGTGAAGGAATGCCTTACAGAGGGACCTTGACAGTATTGAGAGGCGGGCAAGCGCAAACCTCATGAAGTTCAACAATGCAAAGGTCCTGCACCTGGGTCAGGGCAATCCCAAGCACAACTGCAGGCTCTGCAGAGACTGGATTGAGAGCAGCAATGAGGAGAAGGACTTGGGGGTGTTGGTTGACGAGAAGCTCACCAGGAGCCAGCAGTGTGTGCTCGCAGCCCAGGAAGCCAGCTGTGTCCTGGGCTGCATCCAAAGGAGCACAGCCAGCAGGTCAAGGGAGGTAATCCTGCCCCTCTATTCTGCTCTCAGGAGACCCCACCTGGAGTAGTATGTTCAAATCCCCAACACAAGAGGGATGTGGATCTGCTTGAGTGAGTCCAGAGGAGGGCCATGAAGATGATCATAGGGCTGGAGCACCTCTCCTATGAAGACAGACTGAGAGAGTTGGGCTTGTTCAGGCTGGAGAAGAGAGGGCTCCAGGGAGACTTTAGAGCAGCCTCCCAGCCCCTAAAGGGGAACTACAAGAAATCTGGAGAGGAACTTTTTACGAGGCCATGTAGAGATAGGACAAGAGGGGATGGCTTTAAACCAAAAGTGCATAGATTTATATTGGATATTAGGAAAAAATTCTTTACTGTGTGGGTGGTGAGACACTGGAACAGGTTGCCCAGAGAAGTTGTGGCTGCCCCATCCCTGGAAGTGTTTAAGGCCTGTTCGAGTGGAAGGTGCCTTGCCTGTGGTAGTTTTCTAAGGAGATGACTTATAAATGGTTACACTGTATGGCCATTTGTGTTTCCTTTAAAAACTCTCTGATCTCTTGATTTGTTTCACTTAAATTTGAGAGAACAGAAATCTCAAAATTGTTCAGTTCCACCGAGACATATGAAAAAGACATTTTGAGCAGGTTGCTTTTAAACTTGGAGCATTTCATATATTCACTGGTGAGGGACAAATCTGTGGATTTGTGTAAATATTAATGGAGAATTCTTAGAACCTAGCAACATAATTACACTATTTCCTGTCTTTTCTGTTTCCCTTCAGATTACTGAGACAACTGACTCAAGCAAAGAAGTTTGTAGCCTTCTTACCCGTACTGCATACAGAATTAACTGTAATGGAGAAGAAAATGAAAGGACTGTGAAACTGCTGAAGGAACTTCTTAAAAAACTAACACTGAAAGTTTAGATTTTTTATGTTACCTATTTATCAAGCAAAAAAATCAGATCTTTATCCAGGTGTCAGTGTTTCATTAACATTTCCAACAGTTAAAACATATCTTAAGCACATCCTGCAACTTTGTATTCCTTCATAAATATTTAAATTTCCTTTTTTGGAAATGTTCACCCTTTACAACATAATAGTAAATACTAAAGATGGTTGAAAATTTTGTTCTGACCACCTTCTTTAACAAGAGAGCTTGGTTATTTAGAGCAGTTCAATCATTTCCTTATTGTTTACCTGTCTGAGGATCAGTTTTTCTTCCATATTACCCATGGTTTTATTAGCAAATCACATCCAATTGCTTGGTTGGTAAGTTGTTCCTAAGATGTTTTGTTCTATAATTCTGCTTTTATGAAACTAACAGTGATCTCAACTGACAGTTAGTGATTCATGGTGAATGCACTCTATGTTGTCAGGAAATCAATGTTTCCTGAACTCCTTAGTTCTTTTTTAAAATGTTTCCAAAATGAAACTCCTTTCAGATGTGCTAAATGTTTTTGGTTTTTTTCAGCACTGCAGCTTTCACAGGACAGTATTCTCTGCATAGTACTATACCAATAGCTGGTCCTTGTCAACAGATATACTGCAGGCAGAATGTTGTCTGCAGTACAGTCTATATTCAGTGTGCTGTGCCTGATACTGTTGTTTATTTGTTGAAGAAAACTTTTTTTTTCATATAGATAAAACAACATAGGCATAAGGAAACTTTCCATTTTGAGGGCAAAATTTCCTGAAGAGACCATATGGCTGCAACTCATCTTCTTTTTTGTGTCCAGAGGTAGTTTGCTTGCTTCTTTGTTTAGGTTTTCTGTGTCAGGCAAAAGAGCATGGACAGGGAACAATGGCTTAGTGTTTTATACTTAGGAAAGTATTTGTCCCAAAAAGTTTTTGAACCTGTTTCTATCTCAACTTAAGCACAGAGTATAGTAATGGCAGAGGACCTTAACTCTTTTCAGTAATTTCTTCGCATATTATTACCTAAAAGTCATTGAATGTCAACATTTGTGTCATGTTCAAAGATGTTACTTGGAATACTATTACTGCATATAAAATCAGTCATGTATCTTAGATTAACACAGTTTTCTGAATGTAGCATCTGGGTTTGAGCTAAAGAAAAGAAAAACAATGTACTTTGTGTACCTTGGCTGTAAGAGTGGAAGGGTATTTTCTGTAATGCTGTTGACTGATTTCTTACAATTTTGTTCCTAGTGAGTCATGTCAGACCAAATTACAGACATCATTACATATCCTGTCAGTCAGTTTGTTAATGTTTGTAATATCTGTATTACAAAATATTTGAGTCCAGCATATGAAGAAATAGTAAATAAGTAATGTATGTCTGTGGATAAATTTTCTCTTTTTGGATTCAGAATAGTTCTGAATGAAAAATCAGAGAGATATGTTGCAATTTTTCAGTTGTTTGTAGCCACACACATCTAAGAAACCAAAATAAAGCAACCCAGTTTCTGTTCCCTGAATATCATAACCTGGAAAGCATGGTATTAACTAAAACTAAATTATTTTTGATCACGAGCTCTGAGGTATTCTTCTAGTGTGAACACATGTGGAGTGCTCTACCTAGAATGATAAATGATCTAAAATTTATCTCCAAAGGAAGAATGATTTTTTTATTTTTTGCTTTAATTTCTAACCCAGTGTTGGGTGTGAGATGTTTGGGTTATCTTTAAATTCTCTCCATTTTGCCGCTATATTTAATTTTAACTACTTAAAAAGAAAGATTGGCCAAGAGTTGCAATGTATGATTCTTGCAGATTTGTGAGGTGAATTATACAGGTATTATTTATACGTGTATTACAGTTGTTGTAGATGACTTTGTAACTGTCCTTTCACAGTGTGGTCTTTTTTTTTCCTATGAAGAAGCCCATGAAAATTCTTCTGGCTTTCTTAAAATTAGTATTGTCTTAAATAGGGAGAGGTCAAGGAAGATGTGTGGTGAAGGCAGAAAGGACAAAATTATTAGTGAATTGGTACTTTCTTGTTTTCCCGTGTTTGCCTTCTTAAGAAATACCACAATTTAAGTATTACAAGAAGGGTTTTCTTGGTTCAGAAAGCTTTAAGGAAGAAATCTGATTGATGCTATCTGTAACTTCGAAAAGAGACATATGTACTGCCATTCTTTTTGCCTTTTTAGCATAGTTATAAATTGTTCATATTTGGATTTCCTTGCTCTTTCACAGTGCTTGAAATAGGGTCTAATTTTGATAAAACCCATGATTTTGTGGCATGCTGAAGCTACTTTTGTTAGTTTGCCAGTGGAAGACAGTGTGATTTGATAGACTTAAGTAATGGAAGATTTCTCATATGGTGACTCCTGCATTATCCATCTAATCTAATTGCTGCTTTCTGGAAAAGTTCTTTGGAGATTTCAGGGCAGTACTTCTATGCAGAAGCAGCCAACGAGTCCTAAGATCAGGCTTCAAGTAGATTGTTCCCTTCCGTCCAATTTCCATGTCAACACACATGCTAATCCTGCATATAACACTGAAAACAGAGAGCTTTTCAAAATTTTTGTTCTTCAAGGAGTTGTTTTGAATAAGAATACTTGTTTGTTGATAATGCATCTCTTCCAGTCTAAGACTGCTAAGTTACAGCTTTCTGACTTCTAGAAGCTTTCCAGCATGGGCTTGGGTGGTTTCTGTGGATTTTCTTGCAGGAAAAAAAAGACATTTCTATGGCTTTCATTCAACAGAAATTTTAGCACAGAGCATATGCAAAGCACAGTACGTTTTATTTTGTGCAGTATAGTAGGAACAGATCTGTTACCAGGTACTGCAGTTTAGCTGACCAGCAGTTATGCCAGTTACATAGGGATTTGTGATCAAGTTCCATACTCACAGCACTGTAAGTGCAAAGAGGTGTTAACAGAAAGTCAGACTGAAGATGCAAGTGAGTTAATACTAGTTTTGGTAAGTCAAAACTCATGCTCGATTTTAGTTTTAGGGGATACAATTAAAAAAAAAATCAGAAGCATTATACAAGTTTAAGATGAAATACCTAGCAAAAATGACTTGCAAGTATTAAACCAAACACTACTAATAATACATGTTTATTCCATTTCTTTGCTGAATTATCCAGGACAGAATAAAACAGTGATGTTCTGGGTGAGAGGATAATGTCACAGTTTTTCTTGTGATTCAAGAATGGTGTAGGAGGGTAAGATCTGACACTAAAGCACAGCTTTCTACTAGACCCAAGCTTGGGAAGTCACAACATGGAATGTTAGGGAGCAGTCCTCCATCAGGGCACCAAGCATGTTTTTGAATCCATGTTTTTACACTTTCTACATAGTCTGCAATGACTTAGTTACACAATCAGTGTGTTTCACTGGGCAACACCAGAAGTTAAATGACTGCAGCAGAATTAGCTGGTGCTAGAGGCAGTCTTCTAGCACTTAATTTAGAGCAGTATTCACTCGTGGGCCTGTTTAAGTCGTCTTACCTCTCCAGCAAGTTTTCTTACTTGTGATAGAATTTCCCCTTAAGTGCTTGCCTGAATTTAAAAGATGACAGGCTCATGGTGGCCACTTCATTTGCTGCCTTAGCAGAGAGTAGCTTATTCTGGGAATTTGCTGTTAGGTGATCTGTTCACTAGTGAATGCCAAAATGGAGTTTCTCTTGCTTGCATTGGCTATCTTCCTTTAACCAGCTGTCTGGCTGCTGGGACGGAATAAACTGCAGGAGCCCCTTCTGTCAGCTTAAGTGTACTCACAGTGACTGGGTCCTCTCAGTGGCCAGGAGCCAGCTAGGGATGGGCATTGGACTGCCATCAGCCACTGAAACAAAAATCTGAAATCTCAGCTAACTAGCAATGTAGTTAGTAGGCATGCATTGTGCCTTAGTTTGTATTTTATATCCTTGCATGTGTGTGAAGGGAGAGTGAGTGAGACGGAAAAAAACCCCCACGATGTTGAAACTCAATAGTGGAAATTTAGCTGTGATGTTTGTATTTGTTCTACTTGTAGAACTGATAGGATTAGGAAATAACAATTCCATGTATAAGACAGTTTATACCAACAAGTAGCAGAAAAATACACAGCAATACTATGTCTTTAATAGGTCTGTACACTTAACTAACTTTATATCTCTTAACAAATCTTGCTACTTCAATAGCATGTTTCGTAACTCCTCTGTAGTATGTCAGATGACAGACTCATTTAATAAAAAAGCAGACCCTCAGGAACAATGGCCCTCTCTTTTTTATTATTTCGAATAAAAATATCTGTTAGGCCCATGAACTTCTGCAGAGGCATACCACTATGTTGAAAAGATCACCTTTTTACATATTCTTGACCATAACAAACAGTTCCACTTAGTTATTCACATTCTGAATTACACCATCTTTGAGGTTTCCAATATGTATGTATGTGCCAAATCAGCCTGTATATACAGTTTATTCACGTCTTGCTGTTTTGATTTTGTTTCTTAGCTTATGGGTTTATTTTGAGGCTTCTGAAATAGGTGTATAGATTATGTCATTTACATGCTATTGCTAAAAGTTTCCTTAATATTTTACATTCAAAAAAGCAGCTATCTTTGTTCTGACTAATGATGCTGTGACTTCTACTGCATATAAGTTTTCTAAAGATAGAACTTCCATTTTTTTATTCCAAACAAACTTGTAATGGTAGCTGAGGAGATGAATTTCCCATCTGCATCATCATTCCCTGTAGAGACAACCAGTAAGTGTCTAAGTGCTTTAATCTTATTACTATGCTGCACTTCCACATCAGCTTGAGATGCTTGTGTATAGAGAGGGAAAAGCCAGTATCAAATTATGCTGAAGAGGAGAAAGGCCTTGAAATTTGCTACGGAATTCTTAAGATGGAAATGAATGATACATGTGTCTGGAGTTCAGGCATTATCTACGAGTTTCAAGTAAGCAAGATCACTACCGTCTTTTCTGCAGACACGACAAAAATACAAATGTTGTCTCCACAGACCACT